AAAAAAATCTGTAATTTTTCATTGGTTTTGACTTTTATCCTAACAGACATACTAGCCTCTTCCAAAGGGGTTAGACTCAATTGCTTGTTATGATACCTGATTTGATATGAAGTCCTAATTTTGGGTCCCTGCCATAGCCCTGGACTGAAAGAGCCCCTATTGCCATGGACTCTAGCTGAGCATATCACGGAAGCACCTGAAAGGTCACATCTGCACTTACAATAATTTGCAGATCAAAAGGGCCAAGCCTAGGAGCTTCTAAGCTGGACTTTCACACCCAGAGGATTTATGAGTGCCAGCCAGGATGTGTCTGGCTGGAGATAAGATAACATTAACATCCTATCTCCTCTTCTTGGAAACTGTCTACTTCAAAGCATAGCAATCAGAATCCTTTGATTTACAATATCAACTCTTTGCATCAGCCTAGATTTAAGGGTATAAATGCTCCCCAAAATCACAGACACATTGGGGTCTGACTACATTTCATGGTGACACCATGTCACTGTGAACTCTGACTAGAGTCCCAGTTCTTTCCGTTGTCCCCTCCTTTCATAATGGTCAAGTCTATCGATCTTCATTCATTGTTGGAGCAGCCTCTTTCAGATAATTCGCACCATTAGAAAGCCTTATGTTTCCTATCCAATCTAACTACTTTACTCCTGAGTTCTTGTGTGTATGATTGTATGCTAGAGTGTTTTTATACGTTTGAATCCCCAAATACCTTATAATTCATTGGAAAGCTTTGTCTCTATCAATCTGTTCCCTAGCCACTTCCGTAAACATGGGATAAAAGATTCCATAGAAGACTTGGACTTTAGTAATTCCCCAAGTTCAAGGTCTTCATTAGAGTTTGTATCCTTTTCTGGTAAGCACCATCAGATCAAAGTTAAGGGTATTCTATAGATAAAGAAGAAGAAAATTTCCCTTACTTTTTAATTCAGAATAAAATATGCATTGAATTCCCTAAGCAAATACAGCTATAATGTACTTCCTTTCTTGTTTTACCATGTTTCAACCACCCCGGCAGTTGCTCACAATCTGCTATATGTAATCTAGTAAGTCCCACTGGTGCTGATTACATATTATAGTCTGCCCCTCCTATGTATGGGGGATCCATTCCAGACCCCCCCCCCACCCACATAAAGCAAAAAATGTGGGACCTCAAGTCCCATTTGTTTGAATAGGGGCAAACTTCCACATGTGGTGTGACACATGCATCACAGGCACACACCCCAGTTATTTTACCAGGGCTCGCCATCCATGTGACCTTGAGCCTGTGGATGGCAAGTCTGCATATGGTGCAGGCTTGTTATGCCATCCAATTAACGAATCATAAAATTATAGAATTGGAAGATATCACATGGACCATCAAGTTCAACCCCCTGCCATGCAGGAATTGACAGTCAAAGCATCCCCAACAGGCTATCCAGCCTCTGTTTAAAAACCTTCAACGAAGAAGACTCCACCACTCTCCAAGACAACATATTCTACTGTCAAACATCTCTTACATTTTACAATTATACATGCTTACAATTTTCACTGGGAGGGAGCACATGTGTCAGTCCTTGGGGTTTCATTGGGGAAAATTTCCCATCTTAAGTATCAATGGCTTTTGAAAATCTTACTCCCTTTACTTAAATGCATTCCTTCAGGCCATTGACTTCCACCACTTGTTTATAGGGCATCCTATAGCCTCATCCTTTTACATTTAGCCATCAGGACAAACTAAGCTATATGTAAAACCACTTTTGCTGGTGTTGGTGACATAGACTACACCCATACTACAGAATAAATGCTGTTTGACACAGCTTTAACTACCATGGCTCAATGCTATGGAGTTCTGGAATTTGTAGTTTTATGAGATATTTAGTTTTACCTGTCAGAGTACTTTGTTGCCACAAACTACAAAACTACAAATCCCAGGATTCCATATAATGGAGCCATGATAGTTAAAGTGCTCTCATCTTGAATTATTTCTGCACTACACTTTATTTTTATCATGTGCCTTCAAGTCATTTCTGACTTATGGTGACCCTAAGTTTTCATGGGGTTTTCTTGGTAGCTTTTGTTCAGAGAAGGTCTGCCATTGCCTTTCCCTGAGCCTGAGGGCCCATTCCAATTTATATGTAAATCAGTTTGCAATTCACATTGACCCTGGGTTTGGATTCGATTCAGGCAGCAAATTATTTCTTTATTCCATGTCATTCCCACTAGTGGGAATGGGCCCCAAAGTTTCCTTTGTGTCTTTGTGCCCCAGCCCCTGCAGCAGAGGCTGGAGGAGTTCAGCAGAGCTGGGAAAGGCAGGCATCCTGTGAGAGGAAGAAGGTCCAGGAGGCAGCAGGAGGAGGAGGAAAATAGGGTGCCCAGGGCCCTCCTCCTTTGCCTAGCTGCCTGGCAAAGAGGAAGGAGCATGCAGGCAATGGA